TCTTTCCCTCTCTGTCTCATCGTTCTCTACGTTTATCCCAGGAACGTATAGCGGGGGTCGCTGGGTTGGCGAGGTTATAGTGGTCAGACGACCAGTCATTCTATTAGGCGGCGATGCGACGCCAGGAGGCCTGCTAACCTTCAAACGTCGTCGTTCTCACCTGCACCCGCTTCTCAACGGGAAAATATTGTTATTTTCAACAGTTCTGCTTTTTTCTGTCAAACTTTACATTGTGATAATTACAACTTCACAAATAGGGTAGAAAAGAGTAAATAGGGTGGAAACAACCCTCAAAGATAACCTTAAAAAGAACATGTGTCAAAATATTTGTACGGGAACGACTTTCTCGCAAAGTTGCATCAAAATCAATGGTTGACACTTCAGTGTACAGTAGATCTTCAATGAGTGTTCGAATGCTCCTCGGCACTGCACGTTAAATATTTCATAAACTAATAGCCATATGCGACTGAAACAAATATCATTGCCTTCAGAATTTCAAGCTCTATGACTGTACTCAAACTCATTAAAAAGTCAGCGTTACACCGGAGGACATGTCTTTGTCGGTGCCGAGAAGTCTTCGAACACTCATCGAGGATTTACTGTATGTTCCCTCGTAAGAGTCACTCGGAACGTCTACGCGTAACACTAAAACACTTTTATGTCTGCAAGAAACATACGTTCATTTTTCTAGATCTTTAGCTAACCGCTTGGTTACGTCTCTGGCGTCGAGGCAGCTACCGATAGCTGTGTGCTTCCTCGTTCCTGGACGAGTCGTTCGAATAGAAAGGCGGCATCAAACGGGGAAACTGTGCCGACCTACCTCACCTAGCCGCGGCGAACTACCAGAAAATGGAGAAGATTATTTCACGGTGAGTAGGGAGGAGGGGTGGGGGGAGGCCGGAAGTTGCACGAATCGGTGTACTTTCTAGAATTTTACGAGACTGGTTCGCGGTTCGAGCAATTTACAGCCAGCCACTGACACAAATCCGCTCGTTGCACAAAGTAGATCGTGCCGTGAGGCACTTAGCTCGTGACACGTTGAAATGAGTTTCGGGCAGACATACATTCGGATCCATAATAATTAATTGTTAATCATTGTACAAGGCGGAACGTAAGCACACTCTACACGGAAGTTCACCGTATCTACCCTCCCTGCATAGCTATGCATGGGAGCTCCCAGACATCTATTCCTATAAAATCATCAACTGAAGCAAAACGATAGCTAAAAGACGTTTCAAGAACCTGTCTCAAATCGGTACCCTAAGAAATACCAGCTAGAAAATCGCCTCGCTTTTTTAGTTCCACATCAGTTGTGGATTTAACAAATCCTTGACGAATCCTTTCGCTCAGCTTTGAAAGCGATGGAACTTTGTTCGAACAATGCTACACTAATGAGAATTGTTTGATAATGAAAGTTCAAATATACAAATATATATTGTACTTTGTACGTTATTTGTGACTCTTTTGTAACATATTTATAGTCATTGGATTTCTTATTTATCTTACTTTCAATATATTTTTTATTTTTATTATAACGTTACCGCAGGAACTCGGCTGGTTTTTCGTGAATATCTCGTTAACAAAGCCTCGGATAACATTTTTACTAAGGAAAAACTTGTTTCAAATCACCTCACGAGTCTCCCATTTTCGTGACCTCCAATATTTTTGTTACACCCTGTATAGTCGCTGTCTCTCGTAGGTGAAAATCGCGGGCATATGCTGACGCTTGGACTCGCTGTCACGCGATCGTCGCCGGGCACACTGTGGTGCCAGCTCGTACGGCATTTCGTTGTTGCCTGTCTGTCAGCGAAGGCACGATTCGATAACCTGCGGATTCGGGGTCAGTATGGCCGCCTTTTATATCCCGGAGACGGTGAAAAGTAGCCTTCAGTGACAGCTGATGCGTCCCCGTCGCGAATGGAGAACGGACTGCGACATCGCCGGAAAAAAAAACCACCAGCGTCGACGTGGTTCTTCGCTAACGAGGACAGGCAGGCAGCAGCTTTTCACGCGGTTGGCTCAATGAGCGATACACGGTGTAATTAGACGATTGAATGGCCGCGAACAGAACGAGGCACGGGACCGGCAGAAGAGTGGTCCTTTTCTTTTTTTTTTCTTTTCTCACGTTTGTCCGCGACAAATACATCGCCTTTCCCCACGGGTGAATGGGCCTGGCCCTGGGCGTCGTTACCCGTCGAAATACGACGTAAAAGCGCGGTGAAGTTCTCTAGATTCGTGATTATGTACACGGTTCCCCAGAAAATATGAAACAGAATGACTCGAGAGTTTTCAATGCAAATCGCGAATGGTATACCCAGGCGAAGTTTGTAGACAGGGCGGGGAAAACCAGTGGGATAAGCTTCTTTTAATGGCTTTCGTGGATTTCGAATAAAATGTACGACCGAAATATGGACGTGTAGCGAATTGCAACATAAAACGTTCTTCCTCTTGCACCGGCCTGTTCTTTTTTTTATCGTGCCTCACCTCAACGCCTGAGGGA